ACGCTCTTGAGCACGTTTCTCCTCCTGATTAATCAATAATAAATATATTATAATTAACATAAAAAAATTCTGTCGTTATATATTTATCGTGATGATGGAAAGGATAAGCGATTTAAATATTTTCCCACATCTTTACGATTGAGAATCGCATTTGCTGTGAAACGATATCAGATTCAAACCCGCTTAAAGGAATTCTTTTCATCCTCATAATACATGACTTATCACACTCACTCATCCCCCATCAAATACGATCGAATAGCGTATCCTGATATTTTCTATATTTTTATGAAACTTGATACAAGTCGCAGGAGATGCGAAAATTGATTTTTCTGTCCATCATCCTCGGGTTGTTTACTAAGCTCGCGAATCTTGATAAACAAGTGATATTACAATAATGCATCTGTATAAAAACCTAATGATATTTGTTTTTTAATGAAATATATGTGACAGAAAATTGCAATATTGAAAGATTTATTGTAGAAAATGGAACATACACAATAATGTAGAACTCGCGCTCATTTGAGTACAGTAATAAATTGAAAAAAAAAAAAATTATATTATAAATGAATCTCTAGCGTAAAGTCGCATTCATTATTCAGTAGCACTAATTGAATCGTGACAGAATGCATTACGGTTCTAAAAATATATTCACACCCTCACCTTATCTCTCGCCAAGTGAGCAACGCGGCCGGCGATCGCGTTCGATGACAAACAATCGTTCATATCGCGAAAAGTGACCGATCCCCCTTCTTCGGCAAAAAATCGACGTTAATTAATCTTTGGTGATAGTCTTCACTTATACTCCTTTGGTCGGTACGTACTTGTTTGAAGGATACGTATACGATTCTATGGTTGTCATGACGATGTCGATGCGCGGCACGGCGCGGTTGTCAATAGAGGTCAGAGAATGGCGGGTTAAAATTGCGGAAATGGAAGTAAATCGTAGTCAAGTAATGACAAATCGCGCGTAAAGCAGGATACAGGATGGTGGAGAGATTATACGGTAATTGCATCAGTGTTCTGTCTTACGCATAATTGCGTAATTTGGTCCATTCGCTAATCGAGCAAGTCACTAATACTTCCTCCATCGTGAATTGGCGAGATTCCATCCTATAGTGTCCGCAATCCTGCAGTGTCCGAGGATAATACATCTACGTTGCTTCTTGTCCTTTCACGCAATTTCTTATTTCCGGATATATATTCCGGGTATGAATTAATCCTCTCGTTGGATGTAATAATTTTCCTCTGTACAAGTATCAAGTTATTAATAAAAGTGTAATAAGATAAGAGTTATTAATTATTCAATTATTGTAATAAGATAATAGTTATTAATTATTGTAATAAGATAAGAGTTATTAATTATCGTAATAAGATAAGAGTTATTAATAAGAGTGTAAAGGGAATTCTTATTTTTTAATAAAATTTAAAAGAATTTGATTAAATGAATTTCGAGAGAATTTAATTTGATAATCAATTAGTAAGGTATTTAATAATGAAATTAAAACGTTGTAAAAGTAGTTAAGGAATGAATTATTAAATTTTCATCATCAAGTTTCAAATTTCAAGATTCATACAAATTAAAAATACGCGGAGATAATTTTGACACATTCTATATTACTCATTAAAGTTTTAATATGTTTTATTAACATGTATTTATTTTCTTCTGCAAGATTCCTTTAATGTTCTTTTCTTCAGATGAGATTTTATTAGCCGATTCAGCGCTATTCATATCATGTTATCGCACATATTTTAAAGTTATTTCGGTATTACAGTCTCTATTATTGTTTGGGAAAATTGAAAATGCGTTTCTAATAATAATGCAGCTGATAACGTAGATTAATCACGTTATCACCATGTCGGATAGAAGGTTTAATAGAAGGTTTAATAGGGTTTAATAGTGGGCTACATTCGAATACAATATCTCAAAATTATACTTTTTATATAATTATATTTTTCATAAAACATATGGGATAATATATGTTGTTTAATTAAATTAGTATAATAAATATATTCTCTCTAAAGAAAGGGTCTAAATTCGAGCATTTACATATGTGTAAACTTTAATTATTATTAATATAAATATTTTGCTTAATTTTATTACTAATATATCGAATCATATATTATTATAGATGATTTGTGTTTTCATCCAAAAACTGCTATTAAAATTAAAATTGCGAATTGTGTGTGACATTTTGTATAGTAACTTGCATTAATTTAGAAATCAGTGGTATATACATACGTGTATATCCCATTATCTTTTTATATTTAATTCAACATTTTATTATTTAAATAGAATAAATTATAGTTTTAATATATGAATAATTTATAATGCAACATAATACTCTTCGAAAGAGGAGCTTAATTTCAAAAAGCACGAATTTTACTTTTCCGCGCTGTAAACAATTCAATGTTAAAGTTATAAATAAATTTGTCAAAGGCGATGTTTACACTTTGTCTGCTTATCTCATAATCCAGTCTTAAAATCTGTTTTCTCTCGCAATCGCTTCATTATTGCAATTTAAATTTAAAAAAGCACGACAGGATCCGAGGACTGCGACGAATGCGCTTTTTCGATTATGGCAACGGGTGCGTTGCGCTTCCACGGAGGGGTTTCGTCGCAGCATGATAAGAGAAAGAGAGAGAGGGCGAGAAAAGGCAGAGGGAGAGAGGGCGAGAGAAAGGCGAGGCGCGGTGCGCGGAACACCTTCGATCGACCCTCGCGAGAGAGGAATAAGCTCGTACTGCGACAGAGTTTGGTCAGTCGGTCGGTGTTGTTGCCAGCTGCCGCATCGTGTTAAGTTTCTTCAGGGTCTCGCGACAAACACGCAGCCGGTGGTACCTCATGATCACACCCTTTTTTCTTTCCTTTTTTTCTCTCTACCCTCGTTTTTCTATCTTATCTCTCTCATCGCGAACAATCAATTTTTGCCGCGAGATAAACTGCGGGCTCGAAGAATTTGAGAGATAACACTTTCTGTCAAAATCCCGCACATACTCCTCTCCCCCGTCGAAGAAGAGGGGGAACACATGTGCGTACGGTGGAGCGGCGCACGAGGGATGATGTGAGGCGGACGATCGCGACGCGATACAGTATGAAGGTAAAAAGCAGTCCCCCCTCCTGGTTTTTCCCTCCCCCTCACTGCATCCGTAGTGCGTGCACTATTATGCGGATTTATTTCCGATCGGCCTGGATAACGGACGATCATCCTCATAGAGAATACAGGGCGAACACGCGAGCTGGTCCCGCCACGTCAGTCGCGGACTGATTACAAGCAGTTTACCGGGAGCTTGACGTCATTCCCCTGCTGATTGACGACGGGCTTAGAAACGCCAGTATGAGAGACGAGGGTCCGTGTCGTTGACATCGTTTTCCCGCGGCTTTCGCCCCCTTCCCTTTCTCCGGGGAAGAGTATTTAAATCATTTTCTTGTTTTCAATAATTTGGGAACGTGCAGTGTCAAAAGAAAAAAATTCGATTTTTTAATTATTTCCTCGCATTATCTGGACGCGCAACGTGTTTTTTTAATATACATGCGCGACAACGTAAATCGCAATCGGGCAACTTGACGATTTGATAAAGTTTTGTCTTTGTACACGGATCGTACGGTAGTTTTGAATGCATATCATGTCGATGATCGATTCAGAAAGACACTAGTCGTACTTCACATGACCTTACTAAGGCCAAATATTTATTCGCACAAGAATCCTACCACATACGTATAATTGTAGCAAGTTTCGATGCTATAGATATACAAAACTTTTATCAAGCCAATCAGTTTCGTTTCCATCGTTCACTATAAACGTACAGAATAAACAAATGGTCTTCTTGCTATATCTACAGCATCGAAAAATATGCTCATCAAAGTTATTGGTTTGGCCAAAGTTACTCTATTTTCTTTTTTTTGGGAGAGAAGAGTTCAAAAACATATTTTATGTGTGTAAAAACAAAATTTTAATAAATTATCTCATTCTCGAAAAACTTGCTATTTTTCTCAAAAACAAACTCAAGATAGATTTTGCAGGCCTCTAGATTTAGAAGAGATTGCATCGCGTCAGGACCGCGAACTTGGACTCAATTTGAGTTTCCAAGAGTGACAAGAAATTCATCAACGAAAAGTTGAATACACAGAGCACGGTACGTTCGGAAACATCACCCGTGTGCACACGAGCGTCATTCTATCTTTCTTCAACTTTTAGGAAATAACAAAGATAGAAGTGCTTGTGTGCACACGGGTGATGTTTCCGAACGCAGTCTTACAAAGGAAACTACGCTAAATCCTTTATGCTTTTAATGAAACTTCGCACACATATATCAAGGGGATTTTAACTAATGAATAGCAATTGAAAGTTTGAAATTTATTGATTGAGAGTTCTCTTGAATGTATATGTATGTACGAAGTTTCATTAAAATTAGAATTTTCGTATTTGCGAGATCTGTTAGTTATCATTACAATATGACCGCTTAATCAATTTGCAAGTGTAATATTTGCTAGCTTACTTATATTATATTTGATTGCAATCGTCGACAAATGCAGATTTTATTGATTTATGTAAAATTATGTAAAAATTAGAAGATAACATTTTTAATAAAACAATGATAATGTTTGGCACTAAAGAATAAAATAATTTATCTATCATTAAAAATTAAAACGATAAGCTAACATAAGATTTTATATTCTTCGATTAGAGAATCTTAATATATCTCTTTCAACATTATTATATTAATATTTTAATGCTACATATAATTTGGATTTGATATTTCTTATACATTTATATAATTTAGGGATAAAACAATACACCGATATTAGATAATATTTTATAATTTGTGAAGAAAATAAATTAAATGAAGATCTCATGTATTTGAGGATTAAAGACACATTCTCAGCACTGTTTACATACACCATCTTCCGCGATGATAAGAGCAGTTATTCCGCGTTTCTCGCGAATTCTCAATTTCGCAACGTGTCGAGAATTCGTCCTAATCGGTCTTTAAGGTCGAGACAATTATTGCGCGATTTACGTGACGTATTCATTAAGTAAGACCCACGCAAGATTAATCTAATATGATAACAAATGTATATATCCTGATTCTATCGCGCAGGCAACATGTTTCTGCTACTGTCAGTGCTGTCAGAGCGGAGGTTGCTGCAATAGCCGGACGTTCTCCAACCATTCTGAAAGATCACCTATTGATACGTGCACGTCCAACTTTTCTGAAGCAACCATCCCGCGGATCATGAGGAGATCTTCCATCAAGACACTCACGTGGACGTTCTACTTGTCCACCCTATTATTTCTACCGGCGAGAACAAGTAAGGCGCGTGAATACCGAAAAATAACATAAACGTAAAATTGATGTACAATTGAAGAGTAAAAGCATGACAAATTTACGCGCGATTATCGACGTCGAAATCGTGAAAAAACAATAAAAAAAAGAATAAAATAAGTAATTAAATTTATATATCAGTGTTTCAGCTTTTTTATCTTAAATAACTTCTCAATAACCGAGTAGAATCTTTTTAAGTAATTTTTACAAAGAATGCGAAGATTAACAATTGTTTAAATTTATTCGTCAACGTTGATTCTGGATTATTAATGGAATCCTCCAGACTTTTATATAAAGCCTCAATCGAGATTGTATACGTATTTTGTGTATATGACGTGGTCGCGGAAACCAGGTTACACCTGACCAATTTCGATCGGCAATGTGGTAAATTGTTTCAGGTGCCCTGGAAGAGAACTGCACGGATTTTCAGGGCGGTACTGTCAGACACGGCCTCCTCTACGTGCCAGGACCTGCGGTCTGCAGCCTCTGCGTATGTTATCATTCCGAGCCGATGTGGTGCCGGGCCATTTACTGTACACCACCGTTTGTGAGTATCCGAAAATATGAAGGATATGCGAATAACGCGAATCTGTATTTTAGAGGATCGAATGTTCCAGTGATATTTCGGTCATGGTGTTAGAATAACGCCTGTATTTGTTTGAAAGTTACGGTAGATATGCACATGCAGACAAATGCACATTCTCTATCTCATTCGCATCCATATTCATATTCATATACATCAGCGAATCGCTCAAAAATATTCGACGATCATCAAATTCTTTGTGCCCTTTTTTTTAAAACCCATGCAATTCAAGCGAAACTAATGGAAGGATATTAAAAGAGATACATCGATCTTTTTTTTCTCTCGATTATCGAAATAAAGCGCGATGCATGTGGAATGCAATTAATGGTTTTTTCATAATAGAAAAAAAATTATTAAAAAAAAAATCAAATATTAAAAAGGAAAAGAATGGACATCGTATAAAAATAACTTGACACGTGTATGTATATATATTTCGATGTCGCGTGTCTCTAAACTGAACTCATATTTTATTATGTTTGTCACGTCATATCATTCTAATGGACGGATAAGCGAGATAGCGAGACCGATATTTTCCGGATAATAGATTGACGAGTAACGAGCGATGCATTTATCCGTGCGAATATGGTCAAGTGTTTCCTAAGCAAAATTAGAAATGCGCAGAATATACGTTGACATACATGTTCTGCTAATTACTTAGTTTTCTACTTTTTATTAAAAGAGTCGCGTTCTTTCAATGATCTTGTGATTAATTTACACGCGCCTTTTAACTATGTTTTAATTATATTCCTTCTATGCTTGCGTCACCGACCGTGCAAATCAATGTCGCACACACGTCGTTGCCACCGAAGTAGCACAAAGTTTCGTGAATTGAGTGTTGTAGAATTTATGTGTACGAATTTAATGACTGTCACGTCACTAATAAGCGCATGACAAGTTTTATATAGTTTGCTAATAAAAATCGATTTTTTTTTTTTTAATTTGAGACAGAGACGGAGAGTATCTTTTGTGCAAAGAGTCACATTATTAAATTTCTCCTAAAGTGACCTTAATATAAGTATTATAAGTGCCACATTGGGGAGAGAAGTGCTAATAAAACTTTTTTCTCGTATATTAGAATTCCCGCGTGGTCAAAGCAATGTCAAATTTTTATAATAATCGCGTTAAAAATCTTTATAAAATAGATTAAATACTTAAACATAAAAACTTTAAATATGCACGCGTACATATATATTATTCCCTATATTTTTTCAACTTTAACACAACGTACATATGTGAGATTCTCGAACAGGAAGAAATATCGAAAACGCCGCGATACCTAAAGGTTTCAACAACAGGTGTGTTAAATGATCTGTCAACTGTTCGATATTTATGCTAAAGAGCACGCGTGCACACACGACGCATGTATATGTAGGAACCCGCGTGATCTAATAAGTAGGACAAGTCTCTCGTGTCAGGTTCGAAATGTCGTGCACCCGCGACCGCAGCAAGTTTGCGCGGTCCGATTTCTCGTAAGTACAAAGACGATATTGTAATTACAGACGCGATTAGCATATAAAACTTGTCGCATGTTGATCGCAGCACAGGTTCTACTGCCCTACATAACTTACGCAGAGACGGGAAACACGCGTCGCTTTATGCTCGTAATTAAAAACAAACATGCGTGCATAAATGATTAATTGCATTACAAAACAAATTAATGTGTATACATATACAGTTGGATACATTTTAAATGTGCATTTACGCAGACATATTTTATGACATGCAAATCAATATAAGCTAAACAATACGCAAGAGTACGGAAAAATCTATACATGCAGAAAGAAAGTATTGTTGACGTAATATGTTATAATATTCTTTTTTTTACTTCAAAGTAAATTCCATTGATAAAAAAAGTTGCGTACTTAATATGATAGTTTAATATAATTAGTTAATTAATAATCGATACGTAAAAATAAATGTCATAAATATACACTACTCGACAAAAAATAAAGAACGCTTCTTTTCTCGCTGAAAATTGTTCAAGTTGAAAATGTTATAACTTAGCGGAAACAAATTAATGTGTATACATATACAGTTGGATACATTTTAAATGTGCATTTACGCAGACATATTTTATGACATGCAAATCAATATAAGCTAAACAATACGCAAGAGTACGGAAAAATCTATACATGCAGAAAGAAAGTATTGTTGACGTAATATGTTATAATATTCTTTTTTTTACTTCAAAGTAAATTCCATTGATAAAAAAAGTTGCGTACTTAATATGATAGTTTAATATAATTAGTTAATTAATAATCGATACGTAAAAATAAATGTCATAAATATACACTACTCGACAAAAAATAAAGAACGCTTCTTTTCTCGCTGAAAATTGTTCAAGTTGAAAATGTTATAACTTAGCGGAAAAAAAAAACCTTTAATATAATGAAAGTTTAATGTAATAAGATAAATTAATCCGCGCATGCATGCGGAAATTTGCTGGCGCTGTAATTTATATATACAGGCCGTAGGTCGTTCAAATTTATCGACTGATACATGCAATTTCGCATATCAATATGTTGTAATTGGACGCATTAAAAGGATTGAAAAATATAATGAACGTAGAAGTTAATTTAATGATATTATTTCTTTCTTTATGAAAGGTCTATATTTATTGTTAGAAGAATTAAAAAGTTTGGATCTTATTATTCTCTTTTTAATAAGCTTTTTAACAAACGATAATATTTTTATATAAAAACGTTAATTTATTATATTTAAAAAAAAATAGTAAATACTATATATGGGCAAACAAAATTTTTTCAATGCAATACTGTTTGAATGATCATTAAAAACATCGCAATCTATCGCTAATGATATATTGTTTTAGCGTATATAAATAAATACATTTAATCACACTGAAAATTACATATTGCGTAGTGTCGATAAATGCATGAAAGTAATAATATCGCGTTATTGCAGTTAATTGCGAACTGCATACGAATTAAAGTATCACGTTTAATTCATTTTAACAGATCGCATGCACCCACGTCAATGGGAAATTGGACGCTCTAATCGGAAAACGACCCAAAAAAAAAAAAATGTATATATCTGAATATATTTTTAAACAATTCTAATTTTCTTTGATACGATGCATAAAAGTTTGTGTTTACTATATATATATTATGTTGCTATATGTGATTGATGAGCCAAAATATTGAAAAAGAAATGTTCAAAGAAAACGTTTGGAAATAATTTGCTGCTTTACTTAAATTTGTTCATGTGGCAAATTTTTAATTTTTCACATAAAAGCCATGTTGTTCCATGTGTTAGCGTAACACCGATAAAAGCGTCGCATCGATACGACCACCGACGAGAATGTCTGTAATGCGGTGCTTGTCGCGAGTCAAGTTCAGGCTGCGCGCCAAATAACCCGGATATTTTTCGAGAAATTACCCGAGGAGATGCATTCTAGAAACGTTTATGCACTGCCAATAGGAATGCAAAATCTATTTTGAATGGATTTGAAGCCCGCAGTGTGGGGGCGAGCGTCGCGAGGACTGCTTAAATTTTTTGAATGTCCTTACTGTAGGTCGAACTAAGAAGAAAGTGGCGATTGCTTCGAATATTGAAATATTACGAACTGCAAAGTAATTTTAAATTCATAAATTTTTATAATATCAAGACATTTTAATTAACAAGATAATTCTGGAATATTTAGAAAGAAGATTGTAATATTCGTCCCGCATATTAAATAAGGGATGATACATGTTTGAGGGATAAATTAATATCTTTAAACTTTAAACTTTATGCGTAGATTGTGCTAATGCGGTCTTTTCTTGATCGATCGGTGAGATTTATATACACACTAATCTAAATTTTACAATCTTTAATTTCTCATCAAAACATTATTAACCCCTCATATCAATCCGTATATGTGTGTATGAAAAAATCAAAGTATTATTCGATATATACATCATCATATTCACACTCTATTTAAATTAGAAAGTAATTACACTACTCGAAACAAAAATTAATTTTTAAATAATCAATTTTTATCATTTGTCAGATTTGCAAAATATAGAAGTCTGTCCTTTTCCATTAATATTATATTATTATAAATTATATCGAGTATTCTTGAGTGTACATATGTAGAGAGAACGCTTTTATCTGATTGTTTTGAGCGGTGTGAATTATAAACCACTCTCGCACAAATGCTGACCGACCTCGATCGCGATTGTTCCGCAGAAATGCAAGAAGTTTCGCGTAGGCGAACGCTGCTGCGAATTTGAGTGCCTCGACGACAGCGATGACTGGAGTGGCCCGGACGTGTACGACGTATACGCCATGGCATCATCGGTCCAGAAACAGAGTCCCGTCGTCTGTCTGTTCGGACTGGTCGCACTACTGATGATGCCCTAGTTACGACCTGACGGGATCCGCGGTCATCGTAGCGGTCAACCTTGCCCTCGTCAGGAGAATTCGTCCGTTAGTGATATCAGTGATACGACGATGATGACGATAAAATTGTGCACGAGAAAATTCCGAGACAGGTTTGACTCTGACTATGTAGCGTTTTGACGAACGGCACATCCCTCGCCTGTCGTAATTACGTCGTTCGACTTTAGAATAACATTGAAATAAAGAAATCGAGAACTGATGTTCTTTTACCGAATCGATATAATTAAATTTAAGATCGAATCACTTTATAAATAACCGCAGAGAGACGCGATCACGCAGCTCTCTTTTAATTCATAAACAATAAATAATATAACGCGCTGAAATCATTACGCGAATAATAGTAAAATTGTTATTTTATCTCGCACACTATCATATATCAATTAATTTTTTTCATAACTTTTTTAAAAGCAATATTTAAAAACCATCAAATTGTCAGGCGAAAATCTATATTAGTCAAGTTTAAAGCGAACGTGTGTGGTAAAGCCTAATTTTTCTCGATTTTTTTAATTTTGAAGCCCACTTTCTCATATTTTTCCACTTTTTCAAATTCGATACGATAATATTCATCGGGCCGGCTCGATATCGAAGTTAAAATCTACTTCGAATACATATCAATGAATGATGTACGTGACTCTACTGGTCTCATCCAACATTTAAATGTCAACTGTCATTTACGAGGCTTGATATCATTTCGAAGTAAAATACAGCGTTTTTTGTCGGAGATAACATAATAAAATGCATATAAACAAAATGTCAAAAAACTTATATTCAGCGCTTAATTCGATCAGGCTCCTTCGGCTTAATCGGTATCGATTCTCGAGAACGATCGTAATCGCGGACAGTGTGTATGCGTCGTCATCAAAATCAGCAAGAACACTCAAATATCCCATCCTCGTCTTTGGTAATACTCTTGATGGACGGTAACAATTGAAGCAGACTGAAACCGATCGAGACCTCGCGTGCACGCATACGTTTGTGTGCGTGTGTATTTGTTGTGTGCATGTGTATATATGTATGTGTGCGTGCGCGTATGGTCAAAAATTTTTATTTTTCCATTGTCGCGAAACGTGCAATATAATAACGCGAACGTGTCGGGCAGAGAGATTAGAGCGTGGAGATATACAAGTCCGTCATCAACAAGCGTCGGGAAGCTTTGTCGAGTGTATGATATCCTCTTTGTTAACGAGACTCGTTTCGATCTCCAATTTAGTCGATTTCACCGTTCGTTCGTTCGTTTTACTTTGCCAGATTCGTCGATGAATGAGCACTTTTTTAAAAAAATATCTCCCGCCTCTTTATAATTGAAATGAATAATAAAATTGAGAAATCTCGTATGATAAAATAATATCCCGCGTATCCTTTATTTCGCTTACGTTTCGTTCGCAATTGTGTCTTCAGCATATTTTCCCCATATTTTTAATTTAATTCATACATGAAGAAAAAGCTTTTCACACTAAAAGATAAATCATTTGGGATCGAGTCCAATAGTTCGTTTATCCTACATGATTTTGTTAAGATATCGATTTTAAATAATTTTTGTTTGTGTACATATTATACTATACATAAATTGTGCAACGGTAGCCGATGCGAGATATTTATTTGGTTGCTTATCATATTTCAATTATAACGATAAAAATGCAATCTTGTTGACATTTTAGCGATGAGATTTTAAATGTATTGCATCTCACGATAACATACTCTTCTATATCTGCAGATTGCAAAACAACGATTATTTTCGTATCAATTAATGCTCAACCATCAATTAATTGCTAGTCGTGTGATATTTCCAAGCGACAGTGATTATAATAAACATCTGGATTTTCATATGATAACAAGCTAATTTATTAGAATTATAATTAATATAATTCGGTTTGTGCGCCCACGCAACTAATTGGATCGATGAGAAAGCTGAAGCTTAAATTATTAACACGAGCAATTTAATATTCAAAATAATCTGACAATTGGTATCAGTAATATTACATTAAAATTATTTTAGAATCTATTTTATAAAACTTATCGGAAACAATCTGATAAAAAGTTGATTAGATTTTAACGAAATGTGAAACGTATTTTATTAGTACCGACACCGGCGATAAATCTGAGCAAAACACATGGGGCCACACGAGTAGTATAACGTACACAAACGTATTTTCTTGGTTTCCTTATGGAGAAATGTGAGAATGATAAACATGGTGCTAAGTCATTCCTCGTTAAAGAGAGTGATGCTGTATATTACATGACATTCGCGAATTTTTCCGATATTTGCGACACTGTATTTTAATATTTGTGCACGTATGCTTGCCTGTGATATATTTTTACGGCATTTCATTACTATTCTTGCCTTTGGATTACTAATCGCTTCGCGAATCTCGAAGGCTTCGATTAATGCTGCGGATGTTTCTAACAAAAACAGATCTTTTTTTAAATTTTGAAGGAAGAAGAACGAGATCGCGTATAATATTGCATAAAGATGACGACGGTAATAATTAATAAAATAATATATTGATTAATGTTATATTTATATATAATCGATTAATTATGCGAAAACTCTATTTGCTGTATACATAAAAAAAAAATATTACAAAAAAGTTGTCATTCCTTTTAATAATATTTAGAGCCCTAATATATATTCCGTGTGTATAATATATATATGTTACACAATTATATTTAATTATTAATGTTAATAAAAACATTCCATCCCTTATGAATATGCGAAAAACAAAAAACCATAGAGAGTGACACGAAAAGAATTGTTCTATGAATTTAGTTAAGCTCTGCTCTCAGTCACACAGGGTATTTGCGAATAATCTCATCCACGATCATAAACGCATCCAAATCTCGCTCGAGCTTAACGTCTAACAGGGAATCGCGTGTGTACATTATAGTCTAGTTTATATATGTACTTCTTGTTTTGCAGAATTCTTGTCATCTTGATCGTCCAATCCATTTTCGCGACCGTTTGTTTAATACACCTCCGTTGGTAAGAATCGCTCATGCATTATCGCGCGTTTATATCACATTGAAGCTATCTTTCAATCGTTCGCATCAATTTGAAACATTAAATAATTCAATTGAGCTCTTAATATTGAAGACAAACTCAATATGAATGATATTCTCGGCGTTATATGACATATGAGCCAAACTATGATGATGATTGGCATGAGAGCGTGTATCCCTTCTAAAAAAAGGATCCGCCTATGGATTAGCATAAATATCGAAGCGAATGGAAGAGATTGCGATATCTCATGGGCGAAACGGCTCGTATCTGATTGTCTCTTGCATTTGAGTTTTAAATCGCGTCGCATATAAGATTTCACGCTAAAAAACCAACGCGAAACTCGACAAGCGGCGAAGTTGCTAGAATAAGTACGATAAAAAGGATTGTAGTTTAAATTTAAGTAAGTAATGCATATTCAATATACGCGCTACCTGGCCCGAATGTTCTCAATATAATATTGATCTTTTTTTTTTCAAGAAGTTCTGCCAGATATTTTCATTGAATACCGGAAGTATTCTGATCTAAAATATACACTTTTATATCGCTATTTGAATATTTTCATCGAAAAAAAAATTCTATAATATAAATATAAACCCTTGGGGGCCAGGTAATATAATAGACTTTAAATTGTATGCTGTAAAAACTTTACCACGATTCAGAACAAATTTGTTTGATAATTTCATTGTCCTACCTCGAGGAACGAGGCCTTTTTAACTGGCGAAAAGCGTGCAATTGTGCTTTTCTTTCGCGTCTCGTCATTATATATTTTTGCTCTTTATATATTTTTTCCCCTCCCTATTCATCGTAGAAAATTATTCGACCAATTCCTCTAAGCTTACATTTTAAACTAATGTTTATAAAAAAAAGATATAATATACATATTTCAAATGTACATAGCTAGACGATAGCTTTAATATTACTACAATACACGTAATTACTTTTGATCGTAATTATGTCATGTACTAATCAAGGGGCCTTTTATGTATGAATAATTCGGAATCCATATTACAATAAAATTTAATCCAAATGACATCTAAATGTGAATCAAGATCTATGATAATAATTCCCTAGTTTTAATTTTCCTTTGATTTTCCTCAATCGACAGAGAGACATACCGTCTTTTACAGGAGGTATATCGATAATAGAGAATATTTAATGATAGGATGAACATAAGAGGATTTGAATATATATTGAAGAATATAAAGTTTATTCATACAGAAACCGATGATTATGCTTATCTGTGATATATATGTGTCGCGTGTCTCTCTTCTAGTGTCGTGTGTGACCTCGATACGAAAGGTTTATCGACGGGATGTATCCGAGTATGAAATTTAGATCGTCCGCCGTTATAGCTTGTCGCCGTGCAAAATTGCTTAATGGTGCGTAAACGATATCGCCATACGTTATAAGGTCTTCCTAATCTTCCCCTTTCCAAATAGTATCATACAAATCTGTACGTCGTTGATTGAACGTCGGGATTTGCGCTCTGACTTCATCCACGACTTTCAAATCTGTGGGACAATGTATTATTTCAATATATATATATAGCATGCAATATAATGTTATTTCCTAATTATACATATACATTAATTTTTATGTTATTTAATATATTTCATTGTGCGATATTATTGCCTTAGATGCAGCTTGAAAATATTTCTCAAGAGTATTGATTTTGAAAATATTCTAGTTCATAACATGCTGTAGGAAAAAAAATTTTCGGTACAAACTGCATGAAAAATACATTCTCTTTTATAATACTTATTGTAAAGCTAGAATATAACGACATTTTTAAAATATTTATTACTATAAAAATTATTAATTATGCATTTGTTTGTGTATCAAAATATTTGAATAATTGCAATACTTTCTTTATAAAATATAATACACATATAATATATTATTGAGAGAATAAAAATATCGTGGTTTCTCTCATATGTTAATATGTTTCACAAAAATTATATTATAATTTTCACTATAATATTTCCCGTGCAGAAAATTACGTTTCACTTAGTCGTTACTTTAGTTCGAGAAGATTAATTACCTATATCAGAGACCACCATGCCTTCGTCGGCATCCAACTCGTCAAGGATTTCTCCCCAAGGGTTAGTTAACTGAGTATGCCCCCAAGCGATGTATCCAGGCGGTGAACCACGTGCCGGCGATACGCAGGCTACGTATAATTGATTATCATTTGCTCTGGCACGCTGTAGTAAGGACCAATGCAGCGGGCCAGTGGTCATATTAAATGCCGCCGGATATATCAACATCTGACAACCTAATATCACGATAGGATAAAATTAATAGTAGAATAATGAAGAATAATAATATGAAGCTTCAATCGATCTCTTTTCTCGTGAAAATTTCAAAAAATATAAAAGATGCCATAATCATAATTTAAGCAAGTTATCTACAATAATAATTAACAATAACGCGCTAACATATTTATCGTAACGCAATGATTCCTCTTTTTCAAGAAAGATTAAGTCACAGTTTTGAATGTCAGTAATGGAGAAAATCTCATTAAATTCTGCCGCGTTATTTTTACAACGAATTAAACTTTAATATTTCTCGTATAATATTTGTTCACCTTTATTTCTGTATAAACGTGCCATTTCCTCAAATCTAATGTCATAGCAAATGCCGATACCGATCTTGCAACCTTTCGCTTCCAAGATGGTAAGGGAATTGCCGGGCGCCAGCGAGTCGCTTTCGCGGAAGGTGATCTTGTCTTTAATGTCGATATCGAACAAATGCATCTATAAACGAAAAAGTATACATTACTTCGCGTATACACTTGAATATATGTGTAAAAAGAGTTTGAAATATCTTCATAATCCTTTATAACGCATTTTTAACGTACTTTTACATTTCTTATTTTATATCTATCATATTAATATATAAAACTAATTTGTTGAATAATATTTTTTTTTATTTGAAAATGTAGAATATAATTAATAAAAACAGGTTATATGTGTTAAATATTTTAAAGAATATTTTTGAAACACTTTCTGTATGTACACATTGCCTGTTAACGCTAATCTGTACCTTCCTTTGCTTGGCCACGAGCTTTCCATCGGGTGCCCATACGGTACAAGTATTGTACAACCTCTCATTATCCCTCTCCGGTATCGTACCAGCAATCACATAAACATTGTTTTCTCTCGCCGCCTCGGACAAAACTACACTTGTCTCGCCATCGGGAATGCTCTCAGCATATCTCGCGAAGTGAGCTATTTATTTCACATCAACATTAACATGACACGATAAACGAATAAATGGCATGTACACATATAAAATTATTTGATACACAAAACGCGATATTTTATTATTAAAAAAATTTCTATTTTAAATATACAGACTCTTCTACTTTAAATAGAAAGATTTTTAAAACTATATTATAGGGGAAGAAAGAGAGAGAGAGAGAGGGATACAAAAAATGCGAAAATACTTTAAAGTAGATATACATTAAAAATGTAGGCTTATTGGACCAATGCACGATATAAGAAGACTAATATTGTATTATATTATATTATACATAAGTCTACGATAAATATTTCACAGGATAATTACACGTTCCATACGGCGAGTTGAAACATTCCGGTAACACCACGATATCGGCACGTTCTTGCTGTTTCGCGCGCTCGATGAATGATACGGCTCGCGAGACGTTCGCCGGCTTGTCGTCGCCTACGCTCAGTTGTACCAACGCCAAACGCAGTGCTAAAATACATATTGCACTTCTTTATTTCCTTAATAATCTTTACGTTTTAATTTTTTGCAATGGGCGCGTGAACGATATCGTAATTAACCGCGTTTAATTTTTTTTTTGTTTTATGCAAATGGAATTATAGCCTAAAAAATGATAGTAGGAAAGTAGCTAATCGAAAAACGTAATAATTATTAAGATTTAATTTGTCGTGGTTACTAAAATATAGTGCAGTTTGATCACTGCATAGAAGAATAATTCGTATATAATATATAGTAAAAAAATAAATAAAAAACCACGTGCGTGAAATCTTTTATATATATATATATATATTTTTTTTTTATCGTGCTTGAAGAAAACTATAATAGATTTGATGTACATCTAGATTCTTATGTACATCAAAAATTTTACGATGACCATTTCCGTTCCATATACACCAACTGATTAACGATAAAACGACGGGATGTTATTCATCAATCGTTTTATGTAGCATAAAAGCACAAGCATGTAATCGAGTTAAATTATTATATGATAAATTGTAATAATCGCACAAATTGATTCTATGGCATATAGCGATACATATAAAGTTGTTTTCATTTTGTTACACGAGACAGATTATTATATAAAAAAGAAAAGAAGATGAATCCACCAATGAAAGCAGGTTCTTCCATTGGTCGAATAATTGTTATCAAGATTCCTGTTTCCTTATCGCAACCATATCGAATTTTAAGATGTTAGAAACGAGAATCTCATTATTTTTTTTTATTATATTAATAAATAATATTATCTTTAATAAGTCTTGTATAAGTATGTGTATAATACCTGAATAAATATATTTGATTCGAAGTATGTAGTGAAACAATAAAATTCATTCTGAGGGGATTTAAAGTAATATCATTTAATACACGCGTCAAATATGAATGAACGTATAAATGAATGACTTTTCAGTACCGTCAGTCTGGTAGTCTATATTCAAATCCATGTCGGAGCTGGAAGCTTTTAACCAATGTAAAATGTTATACATGTATCTTTTACTTTTTTCTTTGTTTCTTTTTTTATTATATATCTAAAAAGACTCGTGCAATTTCAAATTTTACGTGTCACAATAAAACACAAATAATTGTCGAACCACTTACTTGTCATCGTTCTTATTCCGCGTAGCACGGTGCTCGCACGTAACATGACACTTAGATTAGGTTAGGTTTCCTTAACGTATCTCTATGACGTAAGGAAAACCGAGAATATTATTTACGAAAGCAGGATTTTCCTCTTATCACGTATATAATTAAATATCCATATACTCAGGAGCAAAAGAGATGGAGAGATAAAGAGAGAGAGTTTAATGCGATTCTACGATGATTATTTCCAGACACAACATGCATATTTAAAAAATATCTTAAAGATATCATTCCCTCCCCCTTACATCTTTTAAGTCTTTAAAACATATTAGTATTCTATTGGTTTTCACACAATGACAATATAATTTATTTATGTTATACATATAAGTATCTGTCAAATGTCAAATCGCTTAAATTGTTTAGTCTTGCGCAAAATTCTTTGTCAATCTTCACCAAATCTCTCTTTTCATCTCTCTTAAGTTTACAATAAATCTTTTAAAGTGATAAACTTGTTCCTATTTTACGTCTTATTAACAAAAATGCTCTAATTTGTATATACCAAGTTTTAATGATAAAAATTGAAATAGTTTTATTTTTTGGACATATGGCTTGAACTTTTTCATTGGTAAAAATCCATTTGAATATTCGATTTTATTTTGAACCGAAAATTGTGTCAATAGAATAAAAATTACTTTAGGAAATTTACCTAAAAAAATTAAGCCATATAGAAAAATAAGTTTTATTAAAAAGACATACACAAATAATGTTGTATAAATTTGTATAAGACATAAAACATACACGTTACGTATTATCGTCTACTAGACGATCGGGATCTCCTGTGTTTTTTAGATTTTCTCTTGACAAAAGATTCAGATATTTTATCGCTTCGTCGTTCCCGTTCTTTATCTTTTCCTTTATGTTTTTTAGATTTCTTTGCTTTTTTTATCCTATCATTACTATTGGAACGCCTTCGTTTTCTATTTTTTTTATTGTCGCTATCACTATCAGATGAATCCCTTTGCCGCTCCTTTGATTTCTTTGTTTTATGTTCACTGTCTTTCTTCTTATGTTTTCTTTTCTTTTCAAATACATTTGAATCACTATCATCATTACTGTTAAAATAATCTGAAGATCTTTGTTTCTTTGCATCTTCCTTGTTTTTATGTTCTTCATATTTAGCAGCATCTGAAATTAAAATCATTAAATACTAAAAATTGAAACTGCGATAATAGTGTTTTAATGTTAAGTAATTATATAAGGATTTTTAAAAAGATATGATATAGTATAGTCAAATATATATAGTTTAATATTCATATAATATTTCTGATGTTCTTAACGTTCTTGGTTCCTTGTTGTAATCATATTGAACTATAGAAAACATTTTTTTATTTTACATTGAAATAAATTCATTTTCTGTCACCACCTACTTTGATGATATAGATTGATAAAAGATACTGGTATAAAAAAACTTCTTTATTTGTATTTTGCATTAGTAAATATTCAGGTAATTTAAAAAATATTTGCAGTTTTTTAATTTTAAATCCACAATGTATTTTTTTAAAGATCTAGATCAACTAGTGAAAAAACAAGTTGTTGAAAAAGAAGGAAACTATGAATATAATTTCATTATTTTTATAACAGAATAGTATATTCATATAGAGTAAAGCATATTTATTCTCGCACAATAAAATTTGCATAAGAAGATACATGGAAACTTTTAAAATAGTTTAATATAATTTGATATCTGTTTTACTTTCCAACAAAAATGGATATTATATTACAAGTTGATATAAAGAATTATATATATATATTTTACATATAGTTACATTTTTAAAAAATTTGTAAAAAATAATTTATTTTATTTACTAACTTAAAACTTTAGAATTTTTCAAATATTCTGCCTTTGTTACTGCTTGAACTATGCACTCATTCACAGAAATGGTATTTCCATTTAATGCCATTTTTATAATTAATCTTCCCGCATCATCAAAACCTTCTATTTGTCCATATGTATTGGATCGCTTGCCAACAATGATTTTTATAAAACTTCCTTTTTCTATTTTTAATTCTTCCTCTTCCTTCGTAATTTTTCCATCTTTTTTTTGCAGTGCTATAAAAATTTTCCCACGTAAGGTATCTACCTCTTTATATCACAATTCAATATGACTGCAGAAAAAAAACCAAGAAATTGTAATAATTATTATAATTAATTTGCAGTTTATTAACTTGTTTATTAAGTTACAAGTTAAAAATTGCAGAAAATTCATATACTATGCACTCATTCACAGAAATGGTATTTCCATTTAATGCCATTTTTATAATTAATCTTCCCGCATCATCAAAACCTTCTATTTGTCCATATGTATTGGATCGCTTGCCAACAATGATTTTTATAAAACTTCCTTTTTCTATTTTTAATTCTTCCTCTTCCTTCGTAATTTTTCCATCTTTTTTTTGCAGTGCTAACTTATCTGCACCAAGTCCCATTCCTACTGGCCGTACTTCAGGTACAATAGTTGTTACAAGTCTATAAAATATAAAAAGAATATAATTGATTTATATCTAAAAATGTGCACTACAGTAAAAAACATAATAAATATACAGTATACATATTAGTTTCTATAAACAAAAAGTTCTTACTTTGGATTTTTTCCAATCCCTTCTCCAGATTTCCATCCCATACCTCGCAACATAGCTGTTCCAAAGTCTTCTACTGGCACCTTCTCATAATCATCTAATATACTCTGCATAGAGGAAAAAAATATTAAATATATACAATTTCTATGATTTGATTTTATGGCAATATATGGTCAATGTAATGTTATTAATGTAATCACACGTACTTCCTCTGCACCGTTTAAATTCTGTCCTTTTATTAAAGGTAAACTTAGATCACTTAGTTTATCTTTTTCATCTATTGATTTAAGATCTTCTATAATTTCTTTAGCTGCTTGTTCATCTAATATACTTTCATTTTTATCAGATGATATTGTTTTTATTTGTATATCAGAAACAGCTTGTTGTATATTAGAAACATCATTTTTACTCCTTATTTTTTGCTTAAAAATATCGGCATTTATTTTATTAATAATTCTATCATGCCAAGTCTTAGATTTCAATAATGGAATAACAAGAAGTTCTTTTTTCTCTTCTTCTTTCCTATAAACAAAAATATTCTTGTCAAATTATTTGTATTATCATAGAATCGATTAAGTTCATCAAATCCTCTCATTTTTTTATAAAAATTGTGATCTAAATAAATTATATACGTATTTAATTTTTATCCAATTTATATTAAAGATGATATTTGTTAAATTTTATGTAACAAGTGTATGAAATTTCATATTTGTATTAAATTGTATTATATTAATATTCCATATTTTAATCATAAAAATTATATATAGTTATTAATTAAAATTATATGAAGATAAAACAACAAAATCAAAATTTGAAATATACGGAAACTAATTGATATTTAAAGTATATATCGCAGGTAGTATATAAATGAGGTTAGGTTAAGTTTTGTATGTATGGGTATATATACATACATATGATCGCATTGATTTTCTTGCTATAATGAATTTCTTCGACTTACCCGATCACTTTAATCGCCTTCTCATCAAGACATTCAATGTATTCCACTTTTTTCTCCTCATGTGGCATCTGTTTGTCCAACAGTGGTTTTTTCACAGATTTTACAAAACTAAACGAAATTTTTTTACTTTCTTCCATTTTGTATTTACAATTATTGTGAATTATTTTATGAAAGAAATATAATCTCTGTTTCTTTCTGCTTTCGTTTCTTTTATTAAATATATATTCTTGAATACATATATTCACTGAATTTTATGAAAAGATCAAACGAGACACTCATCATCACAGAATCTCGCACTGATCTTAAACCCGAGGACCCGAGGCCCTGAGCCCTGAGCCACAAGCACAAGCCACACGCCACACTAGCGCCTAGTGCAATAAACCGTTATGCGCATGCGCACTATACATAGTTTTTATTAAGCGTGTGCATTTTAAATCAAAAAAATAATGAAGAGAATGAATAAAACATAAATAAAAATAAAAAAAGTCGATTACAAACAATAACAAATTTTAAATTATACACATATATAATAAATATATCTTATAAATGTAATAAATAATTAAAAAATTCCAGTTTACAAAGGAACGTAATATTAGAACAATTAAAAATACATTCTACTATTAAATATCTCACCTTTCGAAGAAGAGAATGTTTGTTTTACAAAGCAATTAATTTTATAAATGACAAGATTATTCATAGAATTATGTCAAACAAATCTTATTATCTGATACAAATAACAAAAGGGAAATTATACATTTGGTTTTATTCCATTAAGCTCCATCCAATCACATTAGTCTCATTTCATGTAATGTGTATGGAATTATCCTTTCAAGATTCTTTCTTAAGAAATTGACTATAATCGATAGTTAATCAAGCAGCATGAAGGATCATCATTGTAACAAGGATAACTACTGGCTATTGGCTTCCAAGTCCATATCTGACCAAATGGCTTCAGTCTCGCTCTCTTCGGGTGCCTCATCATTGTCTGTGTCTGGTAGACCGTCACCGACATCGTAAGTTGTATCAGCCTGTTCCTCACCAACAGTCATATAGTAAGCAGAGTCCAGTTTACTGGAAGAATTGTCTAATCTGTGCATTCCCTCTAGGGCTCTCCTGTTGCTCGGATCTAAGCTGGAAATAAATAAAAAATGGATAAGCTTCATCCAGATTCATAACAAAGATCAATGATTGTAGAAATGTGAAATATACTTCAAAGCTATGGCATAATGATCCAGAGCTTTCTCTTCGTTGTGCACTCTTGCCCACAAGTCTCCCAAAGTTTGATGAAGTTTACAGGTAGAATTATTTTCCAAATGTCTTTCAAGCAATTCAATAGCTGCTTCCAAGTTCATTTCTTGTTCGTATATTTCAGCGAGCAGATATACTGCAGGTAAGTAGACTTCATCTTGGGACAATGCCTTTTCAAGAAGATTCTTGGCTTTACTTACTGATACAGGATCTTTCATTAAGACGGATGCATATAACTGCAAACATAAATATACATCAATACGTCTTCGAGATTTTCTTTCGAATTTTAACTCACCGTTAGAACTCTTGCAGTATGCCCAAGTTGTTTGCAAGAACTGCTAGCAATATTCAAAGCCTCTCGCAGTCTGTGCATCCCAACAAGACAGTCTACTAAACCTTTATGCGGCTCGTATCTATAGGGTTTTAATTGCACTGCATGTCTGAAAAAGAACAACGCGTCCTGATACTTTTTCTGCTCGATGAAAATGTTGCCGCGTAATATGGTGGCCTCTATGTCATTAGGATTCAAGTTCAATGCTTGAGCAGTAAGAGTGTTTGCCCTGCTGAATTTCCTAGCAGCATATAAAGAATATGCCATAGCTACGTAGATTTCGCCAGTGCATTCGTTATTAGCAGTTATCGCCGGTATCAATCGCTCCAAATCTTTGATGTAGTGCATCTTGTATAGAATTGCAGCATATATATCCACTCTGTAGACAAATGACAAATGGTAAATACTTCTATGAAAAATATTTTTTGACAAAACATTTACACAAACAATACTTGAAACTTGCATTACCCTTTTGTTATATCAGGCTCAATAATTCGGGCTCGCTTTAGACACAGCATAGCATTCTTATCATCACCTGCATAATAGTAACACTCGCCCATGATAGTCAACAGATTGAAATTATCCCTGAGCAGAACAACATTGTCTAACGACCTCAATGTGGTCACAGCATGAGTATATTCTCTATTGTGAATGTGAGCATGTGCCTTGATCCATGTGTTAAGCCACTCCAAATTCATCGAGTTAGAGACAGAGCTAACAATTAAAGAGTTGACTTCTACACCTTTTACTCCTAAGGATAGGAGGCCTTCAGCCGCTTCCAGAGCCAGCGGACACTCCCTTAGAACTTCCTTATATGTAGTAATGGCGGATCGCTCCATTCCCTGTTCATAGAACATCTTGGCCAGTGCCATGTTCACTTTGGCAGTACGTTGTTTACCAGGGATGCTCTGCAGAACTTGCAACGCTTCCTGTAGGTTTTTCGATTTCATTAGACATAGATGGATCTGGTATTTAATGTTGACATCTGACGGTAGGTCCTTTTGTCCATCCAATAAAGGTTTCCCCGTGCCTTTAGATTTTAGCAAGCACTTGCGAAACTGCAGAGCCTTCTTATAGAGAGTTTCTGCTCTGCGGTACTTGCCTAAATAGAAGTGAGCATCCGCATAATAGACATACACATGAAACTTGGTGTAACCAGGTAACATATCAGCATTATGCTCGCTGAGAGAGAGCACCAAGTTCGTTAGAGAGATCACATTTGAGTATAATGCTTGATCATAAAGCAGCTTGATTTGTTCAAATATCCCTGACATGGTTAGTCTTTCGATTTGTCTTTGACAGATTTTATTTCAGGTTACTAACACACTTCAGATCTATGATAACAATATTGAAAATGTTTTCTGCAAGTTTCTCAGAATTTTGATAATATAAAGAAAAACATTATTTATATATATATATAAAATTTATCGAGTCTGCAATTTTTCAATTATTTTCCTTTTCGCATTTCTAATTCAATGTGCTTATAAACGTTAACAACTCAAAAAATAATTAATTGCGAGAAATAATTAATTTAAAATAATTTTGAAAACACCATGTAGAATAATAAATATACATAATCCAGATGATCGTTGTTATATTCTGTTATATCCTTCGGAGTTTGAAGTCATTTAATGAAGAAGTTGCACAATACACCGACAGAGAACGTTGCAATACTTTTGCACGCGCCAAATATAATATAAAATGTCACTAAATATCACTAAACATTATATAGCATTAACATTTTTATTTTCTTTTTCCAAGAATAATATAATTATATTATATTACATTATATGTTTTACGTGATATTGTTTGTTGATTTATATATATGTATACAGTGATACTATAATTATAATAATTTGTGCGCGCTGTTTTTAAAATAATAAAAAAACTACTGATGCGTAGCAAAGAGATCGACTTGAAGTTGATTCACAGTCAATAAATAATCAATTTTTGCAACAATATCTATTTTTAAGTGGAACGAAATAGAAGGCGATCGTATAATTTCGATATTAAAAGAACATTAAAAAGATGCAAGAAGGTAAATATATTATCTTGGATTTCCACACAATTGTATTATAGTATTCACGTGCAATATTTACAGCTTCCGAAAATGCTCGCACAAATACGCAGAATGTCAAGTTCATCGATATGTTGATCGGACAATGGATGAAACGAACGGGAAACGATATTCCGCATCAGACGGAAGAGGTTTGCTTCATTTCCTCTTTTATTAATTCAATTTTTGAAAATGAAGACTTTTTATAAATAGCAAAAAAAAAAAAAAATTGCAGGCGACCGAAAGTTTAAGCGCGCAGGGAAACACGCAACATGCTCTGCAGAAACGGGAACGCATTATTCAAGATCTAAAGCGAAGACTGAAAGAAAGCCAGGAAGCGGCAGCTTTTTTGTCCACCTCCTTGGAAACGGAAACGCGCAACAAGGAGGAGATTCGGATGAAGTAAAATCTTCCAGTTTGTTTTTGTCATGCTCGCATATCTCTTGTGTATATCCTGAGACTTGATTTTTCTCTCGATATGACAGACTAAACGCCACTTGGGAATCCATCGAGACTATCACGGAATATTTCAACTACATCAGTGAGAGCCTCACCAGCTTTCAACAGCACCGCGTTAATTTATCCGCTTTATTCGACAACATAATTCTGAAGCAGCAAGAAACTATTCAGAAATTGCAATTGAGCAACATAAAATCAAAAGGCGCGCTCTTATAGTTTGAAATTGTTTAAATCTTAATCGCGAAAATTTTTGTTACTACAACGATTAATCTTGTAATTGCAGATATGGAGGATCATGTTACGCAATTAAAAAATACATTATTGTTGCGGGAAGGAAGGTAATTTACGCTATCAATAATTTATCGCATAAATAAACGAACAGATTATATTATTATTATATGATTTTTCGTGTCAGACTACAAGAGGCGATGATGGAGCAGAATAAATTGTGCAAACAACTGGAGAGTTCCGAGTATGAACTACAGTTGCAGAAGAACGAATTGAATACATACGCAAAGGAAAAGCTGATACTCGTCAAAGTATATCGTCTCACATTTTTTCAAAGAAATCTCGTGGTTTTCTCCTGTTGTAAATTTTTATTGAGGATTTTGACTATATATTCTTCTTCTACAGGAACAACAACGCTTGATGTTAGAAAATGAAAATTTAAAATCGCGATTACAAACGATTGAGAAAGAAAAATGTGACATCGCGAAATCAGCTGCACATCTGGAAAATAAATTGCTACTTCAAGAAGAAAAGTAAATTATATCGAGTCGAACATGATAAATCACATGAACGGTGATATAACAATTAAATAATTTTTTTAGGATGCAAGATGTACTGACAGAGCAAAATAAATTGCAAAAACAAGTAGAAAAAACCGAGAGTGAATTCCATTTGCAGAAAAGTAACTTGGCAAGCGCAAATGCTGAAGAAAAGAAAATACTTGTTGAAGTGCAATCGAATTTTTCCTTTTTTTCCTTTTCCTTTGCTTATTTATATTTTCTTTCGTTTTTTTTTTTTTAATTAATCCATATAGACATAATTCTGATTAAATATTTATTTCAGGAGCAACAGCGATTGCTATCGGAATTTGAAAATTTACAATCCCAAATGAACATGCTTGAGCAAGACAAGAGTAATATTATAAAAATGGTCGCACAAAAAGATGCACTTCTCTCAAAACTACAGAATGAAATTCTTACTTATAAGTAAGTATTTAAATTAATAAAATTTATTTCACATATTTTGAAAACATCTTTTACATTAGATTATCATGTAATATTGTTATATTTTTTGACTCTACCTAAAGCTTCAAATTATCTTTATCATAATAGAAATGAAATAGAAGTGATGTGGACGAATAATAACGAGGCAAATACTAAATATGAAACATTAACAGAGAAGCAAAATATGTGGGACAAGGAATCGCGTACGAAAACAGAAAGGGTAAATAATGTATGGAGCCATTAATTCTGACATTCTTAACGATAGAATATTATATTTTCTAGATTCAGAATTTAGAGGCAACAGTGAACGCAATAAAACAAAGAGAGAGCAAACTCATTAATGATGTAAATAGAATGGAGAAGAAATTAACTAATGAAGTGAATTATTCCAAGGATCTCGAAAATAAACTTTCGAAAGCGCAAAAAAATTTGCAGTTTGAACAGGAGAAAAATAATGAGATGCAAAAAACTTTAGAAATGACTAAGAGCAATAGCGAACTTACCAACATCAAACTTCAGCGAGAACTGAAGGTTCTTCAAAGGGAGAAGGAAGATATTATAAAGCGAGATAATACGAAGATTAAGGTAAAACGCAAACAAATTGCATTAATATAAAAATCAAATCCGCTCAAATCTGCTTAATAGCTTCTTAAATACTTCCAGAACACGGAGGTTTTATACGAAAACACAAGAGCCATGCATGCCGAAGAAATGTCGGCCTTGAAGAGCGATTACGAAACACAATTATTGGAGTTGAAAAAAACTACAGATTCCTTGAGCGATATGATTAATAACGTCAAAAGAAAAGAGAATACCGCGGTGAACAAATCCTCCATAAAAATAAGCAACTTGAAATACGATTATAAATTGACTACGAAGCGTAATGAGGATTTTCAGGAGAAGTTAAAAGAAGCCACGGAAGCATTACAGATGAAATCGCCAGATTCGATCGAGGATCGAAGATTTAACAATGAATTTAGCAAGTCTCAGCCTAACGTAAGTGAATGTTAGCGATTATGCTAATTGTTATCGATTATCCGCCGTTTCGCGGAATATGAAATTATGATACAGGATCTTATGCCGCTCTTACAAATTATCCCGATTCTTCGAATCGTGTTTAAGATTTTCACATTTGCGGATAACAGCGACGATGAGAAAGATGAACCACCAATCCATACATATTCAATGAGTTCAAGGGAAAAGCGGAAGGAGGTAAAGGAGGTAAAGTATTAAAAATAAATACGATATAAAAAATTAATGAAGGAAAAATGTATAGTAAAAGTAAAACAAAAATAAACGATGATAATGAGATCTTTTGCATGGGAGAGCTAGAGCAGACCATTGAAATAAGTGAAAGTGAGAGCGCGAATGAGCGAGTTTTTAATATATAATCTTATTCATCCTCCCATTCGCTTGTTGTTACTCGAGATATTGAAATAAGATGACGGAGAAACATTTTACGAATTATAACGTAGAAACATTTTTCATCGACTTTTTTTATGTTTTCTCCTGTACACAGCAAGAAGCAAAAGTTATGTCAGCTGGAAGGAAGTTCTTCAAATCGCGTACCGGTCAACCGCGTACTTATACCAAACGACGATATTAATAAGATTTACAAAGAAATCAATTTAATTCGAACCATTTATTCGAACGTGGAACACATCTGGATGAACACCAGATTCTTTTTCATTTATTATTTATTATGTAGTGTTATTTATTCTCGTTTTTGTTTAAAGTTAATTGTGAGAATAATGAAATACATATATAAAAATATATATGTATAATTCATCGGCAAGTTGAGTTAGAGATTAATATAGACTGAAATTCGGTGTAAAATTGATATTGGATGAGTAAGTAGCCACATTTGGGGTAACATCGATATGGAGGGGAAATCATCATCGTGCTCTCGAAAAAACGCCCACGTATCTTCGACACAAGGGAGACGAGATTGTAGCCATGGTTGGAAGCGCACAGAATTTAATTTTAAACATGACTCATTGGACCGCCATCCAGCCAATAAATGATCCTCTATGAATCGACTCAAATTACGCAACGTAATAAAATTACGCGTATCTCGTCATCGCCGGTGAAAGATTTTGTCATTTTCTTTTTGTTATAGATATGCTGGAGCGCAAGTCCGCTATTTAATTTGTGAAAATGTATAATTTTTGTGTATCGTGTACAACAGTTTCTATTTTCATTTTTAATTGATTTATAATAAAATTATCTTAACAAATGTCTCACTTCCTTTATTCTAACTCAACTAAAATTCTATTCCACGAATCTTTAGTGTCTTGTCTAAATTAGTATACAGTGATTAGGCTTTTAGATCTTTTTGTATTCAGAGTATGTCTACAATTTTCTCGCTCTTCTGCTTCATCTCGCACGAGGCATCTGCCGCAAATTTGGATCGCGCAATAATAACCCGAGCCGTATGGCAGAGGACTATTTAAAAGTAGCACGTCCCACTTTCCATGAGGGCAGCCGTATTTTTTCTTTCTGAGTCAGGACCTCGACACATTGCCTACTCTCTACACCGATACGTTATGTGTATACCTATTGTAATCAACAGATTGACAATAGCACGAGCCGTTTTGTTTGAAGAAATCAGACGAGCCTTGATCCGACATGTTTGCCTCCTATGAAGGATTCATTTAAATCACTCAAGATCAGTTTTACATGGTGACATATATAATAAAAAAAAATCTATTTTCTTATTAATAAAAAAATCAAATTTTTGTATTCTATTGTATATGTATATTTTAAATGGATATTAATAATACGCAGTCAGTATATGTTCTTAATTATTGTTTTTTCACATTGGCTCGCTATAATAAGAGATGGCGAGCAATTCGTGACAGTGAGAACACTCACTCAAATTTTGTTTCGGCTTATTTACTAGAAATGCTATAATCATTACTAAGCTGTCCAATTTTCACAGCAGCTGCATCTCTCTGCGATTTCGGAAATCCTATTTCTCGTTTATCTGAATAAGCCGCTAATATTAGAATCTCGAAACGTGTGGAATCACGTATAACGCTTGTGTCGTTGATATAGGGTGTCTCGACAGTCACGTATAACAAAAGAAAATATGTCAGATGTCTCATTTATTGATAAATGAGCGAGCGAAGAAGAGGATAAGAGAAGCTTCGAAAATATATCGAAATCCAAGAAATAACATGAGATATATCCTTCATTTACGTCTAGAGAAAGATTTCCTTTTCATGGAATATATCTTAGGACACCCTGTATACAACCCTCTTACGTTGTTGGACGGATTTCTCCCCCGACTTAGCCACGTGGTTGCGTGGTTCACACGAATGTATAAAAAGCTCGCGACGAAGAGGGCCCCGGCACTTCAGTCTTTTCAAAAATATCGTAAGGATGGCTCTAGAACGTCAAGTGCGCGCTAAGGTATACACATATACATATTTCGATCGTGTGGTGTAAAATATTTTCCGATCCGTTCACGCTTGTCACAGTGATTCAGAGTTTTCCGCGTTTTCTTTCGACCAAAAAGAACTTTTTTGATAAATATCATAAATTTAATTGTTATAATTTTATGATTTAAAAAAAAAATGACACATCTCTTTGCACATAGATTGCGTCGAAACGCAATCCCGAACAAGAGAAGGAAGCGCAGGAATGGATCGAATCGATCCTTGGCAAAAAGTTTCCCCCCGGTGAGACTTTCGAAGATGTGCTGAAGGACGGTCAGGTCCTTTGCCATCTCATGAATAAGATCTCTCCTGGATCGGTACCGAAGATCAATAGCTCCGGCGGACAGTTCAAGATGATGGAAAATATTAATTTGTGAGTAATAGTTGACAATTATTTGTAACGAATGTAAATTATACGGTAACTATACATCGTTGCTACAGGTTTCAAAAGGCTCTAAAGGATTATGGGGTGGACGACGTCGACGTTTTCCAGACAGTGGACTTGTGGGAGAAGAAAGATATCGCCCAAGTAGTAACGACGTTGTTCGCTCTTGGCCGAACGGTAGGTTTTATTATTAATTTTTATAATAATGATGCGATTACTTGTATTTTGTATAGTAAATGATTTTAATCCTCAATGATCCTGTGCCCACTATATATATTATTATTTCCGTTCTCTTTAGACGTACAAGCATCCCGAATGGAAAGGACCTTACCTAGGACCTAAACCATCAGAAGAGTGTAAACGTGAATTTACAGAAGAACAATTGCGGGCTGGCGAGGCGGTGATCGGTCTTCAAGCGGGTTCCAACAAGGGTGCAACTCAGGCCGGCCAGAGCATCGGTGCCACTCGTAAAATTCTCCTGGGAAAGTAAATTAAAAAATCTCAGCGCAGCTGCTTACTCTCTTCCACTCTTTAGAGCTAAAAAAATTGCGTATTTTTCTATGTACATAAATGCGTATATATATATTTTATTTTACTTTTGTAATTATATATAAATGATAAATAGCTGTCATTTATTGATCAGTCTTTTCATTTTACTTCTTAAAGATAGCCACTGTATCATCAAGATAGCAATTGTGTCATCTCGTAATAAGTTGTAATTTTTTTAATCAAAAGAGATAGAGGGAGAAAGAGAGAAAAAGATAGAGAGTGTGTATGTACGTTTTTTAATAGAGAGTCAGCGATAATATTCACACAATGATAAAATAATTTTTATAATTAAACGAGATACACTATCGTTATTAAATCAAATCTCTTATCTCTTTGTGTCTCGAGATTTTAGTCTCGAAAAATGTACAATGTCGATGACAGATATGCGTTTCAAAGCAATCAAACTGTTATTTAATTGAGTAATGACAGATGCGCGTTTCGAAACGATAAATTGATTGTTATCTAAAGGATTCCAAATAAAATTAGTTCTATCCATCCGAAATAAATCGAGATTTCTTTCTTTTGTCCAGAATTTTAATTAAGTTAATTAAGTTTTAATTGAATTCATTTTCTTATAGAAAATTCAATGTTTTTTTTTTTTCATTTTTCAACAATCGTCAAGATAGCAATTGTGTCATCTCGTAATAAGTTGTAATTTTTTTAATCAAAAGAGATAGAGGGAGAAAGAGAGAAAAAGATAGAGAGTGTGTATGTACGTTTTTTAATAGAGAGTCAGCGATAATATTCACACAATGATAAAATAATTTTTATAATTAAACGAGATACACTATCGTTATTAAATCAAATCTCTTATCTCTTTGTGTCTCGAGATTTTAGTCTCGAAAAATGTACAATGTCGATGACAGATATGCGTTTCAAAGCAATCAAACTGTTATTTAATTGAGTAATGACAGATGCGCGTTTCGAAACGATAAATTGATTGTTATCTAAAGGATTCCAAATAAAATTAGTTCTATCCATCCGAAATAAATCGAGATTTCTTTCTTTTGTCCAGAATTTTAATTAAGTTAATTAAGTTTTAATTGAATTCATTTTCTTATAGAAAATTCAATGTTTTTTTTTTTTTCATTTTTCAACAATCGCCATTTAAGGATACGAAGGCGATATCGTGCTCCGCGCTGGAAACGTCAAAAATAAAGCACGACGCAATGCAAATTGCGTGCAACGCGTTGAAGCTGTGCCAAGTTAAGCTCGTGTGGGAATAAGCGTGGGATTTGTTCTATAGATATCCGAAAAATGTATTTTAATGTTGCTTATCCAAAACATTCACGAAACGTATTTTGCAACATTCTCATTGGCATATATCTTTTGAATCAAAAGAGCTCGATGTCTGATAATTTCCTGTTTATTGTAACTTATTTATACTACTCAAGTTATTAGAGAAAAACATATCGTAATCCAACGTAAACTTCATTGAGATAGAGATACAGGCTATCGAATAGACAGTGCACGATAACAAAAGAAGAAAAACATGATTGTTATGTACAAATGAAACTTTCGAAAGTATATGAATGTTTGCGTGTGTTTATAGAATAAGATACATTTACAATTCCTATCTCTATATAAGGCATATATATTACAGGACGCTACAATAAAATAACATTCTCGCGCAACGCGTGGCGAAAAAAGGTATGTCATTTTCTCGTATACTACGTAAGAAGATCGATTGCGTATATAAAAGTAATCCTTTGATTCGAGTTGCGAGAAGTAAAATTATACGCACGCTTGCGTGCGCCGTTTAATTCTCACCATAGATACGATTTCTATTGTCTGCGATTAACAGTTTCGCGAGTGCAAAGTTTCTAAAAAAGATACCCAATATATTATCACATTTTTAAGAAGATTTAAGAAATTCTCTTAAGGAGGCTAAAATATATCCTCGAGGAAATCTCAGATATCTCTCGTACCAATTTGCCGCTATCTAAATCTCGCGCCGTCCGATTTCTTTTTCGAGAAAGACGGTATACATATATAAATGATATCGGTGATGCAAATTGCATACGCGTATCTCAAGTCGCTAATTCGCCGAGACGAATGGAGCGCGGATGTAGATCATGCCAGGGTTACGATACTTTGGAATGCAAGCCGATGGGAATTATTTCATCGACCTCGACCCAGCGCGATTTTATATAACCGCGCACTCTTTCTAATATCTAGTTCTATTATAATACGATTCTCATGGAGATTAGGACAGCTATTTCGGTATCATTACAGTCGATCATCTTTGTTGGTTTCATTTTTCTTTCTTCTGTAAGATAGAGAGAGTAGAGTAGCGGAGAAATGCGGGCGTTTCAAGAAATCGAACTCTGCATTCTAATTGTAAGTTGGAGGGAAGGGGGAGATTAGAAGACGAAAGAGAGAGAGAGGAAGAGAGAAAGAAGCTGTGCGTGTCTTTATGTCTTTCTTCGTAAAGAGATGCAAGAGAAGGAGACAAGTGTAACGCATATTTTTAGAAAAAAGACTATTAGTTTTACATTGCGACTGTTTATATATTAAAAAAATATATATATTCAATTTCTCATACTACGTGAAATTGATAAGATCGACAAGACGTAAAATCTCAATTTATTATTTCTTATATCACAATTGTGTTTATGACATAAGAAAGAAATTTCTTTCGATTATGATCATTCCAGCTATGAGGAAAAAAACAAACGGATAGATACAAACACAAACACATACATACTCTCTCTCTTTTCTACATATATATTATTATATCTTATTATTATCAAAATAAAAATATACATCAAAACACAATATCGGTATCAATACTGTCAAAAGCAAGTAGATATAAATATTGATACCATTAAGTTTGTAAGATTCTTTCATTAGATATGTAATCTGTACAAGTCTAAAAATCTAAAGAGAAAATATTTATTGTATCAAAATATTATGCGAGGTTTATTGTTTTTTTCTGACTTTTCTGATAAAGGATCCATGCTAATTTCTTATAGCGTCCTAGAAAATCAAAGAACGTAAATGAGATTAATTAATCATTAATGCATAATTATCTTTAACATCCTTTCGCTAGCAATATTGTAGTCTAACGCGTATATATACACAACAGTTTTCAATATAGAAAATTTTCAAACTATAACATGCAATCAACATTAATTCTCCGAGTTAGATTTTCAATTTATCGTAACAAATGATTCTCGTGATCACACACTCGACATTCAACGATCAAGATACGCGCATCAAATACAGATCGATCGATCTGTCCGGTAAGATCTCTTCCGCGATAGATGTATAAATAAAAGAGTGTCACGGTGATTTTTTTTACTATGTTAATGTAAACGTCGCCAACGTATCGCTCTTGTCCGTCTTCTTCAGCGAGGTATGTATCCCGGTATGCACGCATTCACTCCTTTTTTTCTTTATTTCGTTCTTTCTTTTCTCTCTTCCTTTTTTTTTTCTTGCAGCGTAGAGTGACGAGTAAAAAAAGATTGCAAAAACCGGTTCGCATTTATATTTTACTACTTTCTCGACTCGCGTCGTATAGCATACCTCTCGCATTATGCGGAAATAATTTCATTAAATGTTGGTTCAAATGGATGAGCAGTGAGATAAAGACAAATTAGTTTCCGCAGTAACACAATTGTAGTAATAATAATAATAATATAATAATATTACGTGTTGAGAAAGAGAGAAAGAGAAATAGAAAAAAAAGAAAGGGGAAGAGAGAGAGAGAGAGAGGGAGCGAGAGAGAGAGAGAGAGAGAGAGAGAGAATGTATATAGCAATAATATAATCATTATAATAATAATTATATAATTATAATTAAAGTACAGGCACCGAGAAAAAAGATCGGCGACTTTTCAAACATCTTCTATATGTCGACACGATTGTGAGTTTGTGACGTCGGTGTCTACTATTCACAATATTATTGCCTGTCGTCGTCTTTCTCTCTTCGTCCTCACAGCATCACAGCTGTATCATTCGGTTGATCTCGCCGTTTGTCTCTCTCACTCGTCCCCTCTCGCTCTCGCTTTCTTAACGCGCCGCCACATCTACGCCCTTCCACACAGCTGTTTGATGCTTTCATTTTTATTAGTAACGATCTAGCGTCAACTAAACCCTGTACTATAAATCAAAACATTAACAAGGTCGACATAAAGAACAAGGTTAATCCTACGTTTTCGTAAGATAAATTTTTTTTCGCGACGGTTTTTAAAAAATCTTGTTTCAGTCTAAATATATTATTTAAACACGCGTTTTAAATAACTAAATATTTTACAATTTTTATTTTGCAATCAAAATAATATTTAAATAATATTATAATAGTAATATTTAAATTTTATTTCGTAAACGTATAAATATATATATATATTTACAGGTTATAATAATTTATGAAAAAAAAATTCGCAAAACGAGATTTAGATTAAATTTCGAGAACGAATAGATAAACAATTTAAAAACATAAGCTGTTATCTAAAACTCTGATAAAAATATTATGAAAGAGATATGATAATATACATTGATTAACAATAAGATCCAAAATCCAATCTCGAATCTCGAGTCCTTTGACAGTTTTCACTTTCGCAACCAAGATCAACAAAGATCATCTGACTGTGAAAAAAAAAAAAAGATTATTTTAATTATAACGTACGAAAGAAGAATAATAAAAATTGCGCTCGATTTCGAGGAAAATACACGATCTGAAGAAGATCTAAAAAACCCAAAAGTATCACGAGAGACCGAACAAAAAAAAAAAAAAAAGTTATCTAACCCTATATCCGATTCGTCTCGCATGCATTCCCTACCCTAACCTCTTCGTTGGGCTATGTAGCGTCGCATTTACTCGCGCATAGGATAGGAAAACTCGTAGCAATTCTCTGCTCTCGTAACGTAACGAGGACTGGAAGGACTACGTCCATCGGCGGAGACAGGCGCGGCACGACGCGAGTCAGCGACGCGGTGATCGCGCGTAAAAATGAAATGGGGCATTGGGTGAAAGTACTCGCGGCAGCGAGCGAGCGAGCGAGCCTTGCCAGCCTGCCTCTTATATCAGATCAGTACGGTAGGCGCGCCTCGTCACTACCGCGCGTTCGCTACGCGTCATTCCTCCTGGCACGGCGGCTCTCCTCCTGATGACCTCTCCGTTGCACATTCTGTCGCGGAAATCCTTTGCCTCGCATCTCTGGACTATGCTGCCGATTTGGTAGCCTCGCCACATTCTACTCTACTGACTTGAGAGAGCAGCGTTTTATTCCCTTTCTGCAGAATGCTGCGCAACCTGTGGACCTTTTGTGTCCTGTCACCGGTCATCCTGGTCTCAGCGCTGGAGAATGGCTTGGGTAGGACACCACCGATGGGATGGTTAGCTTGGGAAAGATTCAGGTGTAACACTGACTGCAAGAATGATCCTGACAACTGCATAAGGTGAGCAGCAGTCAGTAGTCTGGATACATTGTACGAATGGAATACTTGGTGTAAGTGTAGAGGGAATTATAGCAATTGGTTCTATTCTGCTTTGCAGTGATCGTCTCTTCCGAACAATGACAGATATAGTGGTGGCTGAAGGATACGCCGCAGTGGGCTACGAGTATATTAATGTGGATGACTGTTGGTTGGAGAAAGAAAGAGACGTAAATGGACAGCTTGTACCAGACAGAGAACGGTTCCCATATGGCATGAAGAGTCTGTCAGATTATGTAATTTGATGTTAATTGTTCTAATAACGCTTAATTTCATCAAATATCTATTTTAAGTTTTGTCAATTGCATGAACTTATTGTTACATAATTAGTTTCTTTTCCAAAATAGTTTTGTACCTTAAAGTGCTTTATGAAAAATATTGTTTTGTTTGTTAGGTGCATTCAAAGGGCCTCAAGTTTGGTATCTATGAAGACTATGGTAATTACACTTGTGCCGGTTACCCAGGTATATTGGGCTATTTGGAATTAGATGCCGCTACATTTGGATCCTGGGACGTAGATTATGTGAAATTAGATGGATGCTATGCGCATCCCAGTGATATGGACAGAGGTATAGTCATATCTTATAAATAGTCAATGAGTTTTCTATTTTCTTAATGGAATAAATCAATAATAAAATTATATGACATTTATCAAAGGCTATCCCGAGTTTGGATATCATTTAAATCAAACTGGAAAACAAATGATATATTCCTGCTCCTGGCCTGTCTACCAAATCTATGCTGGTATGCAGGTAAGTAGCGATATATTATGTTCAACTTATTTCTTTCAGACTCTATTTTTCATATTTATTTTATTTTCAGCCGAATTATACCGCGATTGCGCAGAGCTGTAATCTCTGGCGCAATTTTGATGACATTCAGGATTCGTGGGCCAGTGTGGAGAGTATCATTGATTACTATGGTAACAATCAAGACGTAATCGTGCCTATTGCCGGTCCCGGACATTGGAACGACCCGGATATGTTAATTATCGGTAACTTTGGACTAAGCTATGAACAGAGCAAGACGCAAATGGCGATCTGGGCTATACTAGCAGCGCCGTTGCTTATGTCTGTTGATCTCAGGACGATCAGGCCAGAGTATAAAGCCATTCTGCAGAATAAGAAAATTATTGCCGTGGATCAAGACCAGTTGGGTATTCAAGGTCGACGGATATACAAAGTGAGTGATATAAAAATTTAATGTATCAGTGTTTTAAATATATAGAAGTGTGATAGTCATCAATTTCGTAAATCAATTGAAATGTGAGATTCAGTTCAGTGACATCTGATATGTATTAGTGTGGCATTAATTATTTGGATAAAATCGCAGCAGAATATATCTTATGCAATATAATTCATTGCAGCATAAGGGCATTGAAATTTGGGCAAGGCCCATCACTCCAGTTTACCAAAACTACTACTCGTACGCGATCGCGTTCATCAATAGGCGAACAGACGGTACGCCATCGGATGTGTCAGTCACATTGAAAGAGCTGGGTCTGCAGTATCCTGGAGGATACCGAGTGGAGGTTCGTAGCATAAATATTTTAATCGGAAAAAGTATCTTCGGATACAAAAATTGACGAAAAGAATTCGGTTTATCATTCGTTGTATCTTTCAGGATTTGTACGAAGATGTAGATTACGGCATACTAACACCGCAGACCAAGATCAAAGTTAAAGTGAATCCATCGGGCGTAGTAATATTGCGATGTAATTTGAATATAGACGATTCGTTTCGCTACTCGCCGTACACACCTTTAAATCAGATCTTTAAAGTTAGACAAAATTCGTTTAAATGACCGTACGCGTCTAAAATATCGAATTTTTATTGACGTTTTTATATAAGTTCTACGTTCTCTATATTAACGTATTATAAGAAAGGCTAGGAGAAATAAAGAATTTTATAAACTTTATTCAACCATTTATACATTTAAAAAATGACGTTTTACGTTTTATATTTACTTTGCATAGTAGATGCAAAATGTAAATATAAAATTATTAAAACGTAAAATTATTTTGTATCTGCTTTATATTCATTCTTTCAAACATTTTATTTTTAACATAATGCATAAGAATATTACATGGTATCTCAATCCACATAGAAATACATACACATATTTTCTGTGCATATAGAATGCTTGCAAACAGATGTTTTTCTGATCAAAACAATATTTTCTATCATAAAGTTTAATTCGTTTAAATCCTCTTTATAATTGATTTTAATGCCGTTGATACTATTGTACTTTTGTAGACGAGATCAGTTTTTTACAAGAAATATTGGAACAAGTATCTTGTATAAACCGCCACGTGTACCAGCGCGAAACCTATCTCTTTACATTCGCTGTTTCCAATCTTTTCTCTGACGTTCGTAACGCGTCACGAGGACGCAAAGGGATATCACAAACGTATATATTACCGCCGCGCGGAGGCATTCTACGGAGGCTATTATAAATTCACTATAGATGTCAAAGCACACATTTCTCATACATCTATATATACCTTTCTACCTATACCCGCTTATCTACCCGCAATTGACACGAGAAACATGTACAGGGTGTTCCATTTTAAATGCATGTGAATATCTTCGAAACGATTGATAATATCGAAAAATATTTCAGACAAAAATTGATTTTGGTTCTGAAAGGGGACATAATTCAATAATTCTTTTTGTATCCCGGTTGAAGGACCTTCTTTTGAATATCAACTTTAAAAATTACTTATATTATTAATACTACACGTGCATTCAATTAATTCAAATTTTTATCATTTTATTCAAAAATATACAGTTCCATATATATATATGAAAACCATAAAGCAAGATATGATTTTTGTCCTTAAAAAAAAATTTTGACAGATTATGTCCTCGAAATCATTCAATTTTTATTCGAGTATTTTATCGTTATTACTAATATATAACTTGGAAAATATTCGCGTGTATTATTTGAAATGGGACATCCTGTATACAAATATCTCTCTACACCCACTCTCTCTCTCTCTCTCTCTCTCTCTCTCTCTCTTTCTGTCCTCCCGCCCTCCCCCGTACACTGCTGGTAATGCGTCACCGCGACGCCCGCGTCGCGTCGCGTCGCCTCGCGTCGTTTCGCGCGTGCTCCCTTCAACCCCCAGAGAAGTCGCAGCCATTGTCAGAAGGTCGGTCGGTCAGCTCGATTCCTCGTGAAACGCGTCTCCGTTGTGCGCGTAACACACCCCTTTCGTCACGCGAGTACCTTGAGCGAAAAGCGAGTAACTTAGCGAGAGCGGAATAGACTGACGGACAGACAGAGGGGTGAAGGAGAAGAAAGAAGGGAAAAGCGCGAAATGTGAGAGAACAATTGTTCGTCGACGCGATGAAACGCAAACATCCGCACGACGCTGATTCCGCGCGAGCAGCACCAGCACCAGCACCAGCACTAGTATCAGTACCAGTCGACACCGTCGTCGCCTCCGCCTCCGCTTCTGCTGTCGCCGTTGCTACCGTTGCTGCCACCGCGTTGCTGCACCCTCTTACCACCACGGCCGCGAGCATGAAGATTCCGCCTCTCTCATGACCCAGGTGAGTCCGAGGGCGAGATTTTTTTTTTTTTTTCACGGTAAAAGCGTGTCGAGGACCGCGCGACGTCGGTCTCGTGGTCGGTTTACGCGTCCGTGTGTTTTCTCTCGCGAGATAACAAACTCGCGCCGATATGGCGGCCGTCGCCGGCCCCGAGCGGCTCCTCCGTAAGCGATCTCGCGGAAAAAGGAATTAGACGATTACGCTTGTTCCGAGATAAAGGGAAAGTGGTTTGTTTTTGCGCGATACGATTGTGATAGGGCGTTATCGATATTGATGCAAAGTAGCATCGCGATCGATAACGCGCGCTCTCGTAACCGATGTTACGTTCGTTTCGATTCGCGGTGATTCAAATGTCGTTTAGATCAAGTTTCATGTCTGAATCTTTTGGAAGCCTCGATGTCCGTGCATTGTTGATGAGCGTGATAACGCGAACTCTCAGTCATTGATGTAGAGGCAGCTCGCATGAATGAATAATGGCGCCACATCGAGAATCGTTTTGAACGATGACGCGTTTAGGGCTGTCTTACAGTCGGGGAGTCGATAATCTACGGTTATTCGTGCCTTTATTTATTACATACGAATCGCGAGTTTCGATGTTGGATCGTTGAAATTTTCCGTTTCGAAGCTTGACAAATCTTGTCCAAATCTTTGAAAAAAATCACGGATTACTATACACGTTTCACACATTGAGTTATTTAATATCACAATTTCAGATTTAGAAATTGATGAACGGAATATTTATCTAATTACAGATTTAATTAATCGATTTAATAAGCGCTAGATAAATATATTGTTTGCGTTTGAAACTTAGAATATAATATATTTGAATGCATTATATAATTGTTATACGTATACGACTCGTCATTTTATTCGCACATGCTTTTCTTTATCTATTTTTTCTTTTTTAATCTTTCCCCTCTTTTCCCCGCCTGATTCTCACAATTACTTCTATTATCTATTTACTTAATGTTACGAATCATAAAGTCTCTTTTTTACTCTTCCTAGCTATTATATTGTTATTCAGATAATTCTCTGATTTAATGTCATATTATCATATCCGCGTGTATGAGATGATACGTTAGGGTAATGATCGCTTTTGCCTCGCTCGCATAATTAACGCACAGGGGTTAATTAAAATTGAAACGATGGAGAAAGATGGATAGATACGGATCGGAATGATTAAAAAATGTCACCGCAATAATATTACATATATATATATATATCGATATAAGCGCACTCGCTATTTATCATATTTCCTATGTAGGGCGGCGCAGATAAATCGATACGCGGCACTTTCATTCATGGCTGCCTCTCTCACGGTTGGCACATTGCCGTTGCTCTACGTACCACCCACGTTGTCGAGACCACCACACTTACAACTCACCCGTTACGTAGTATACAGTGGTTCTCCGTTTCGTATCGCGTAAGAACAATGAGTGTTCATCGTACGCGAATCTCTTATGCGGTTTTAATTGAGCATATAATGCGAGCGGCGGAAAAATTTGTATATTTAAAAGAAGCCAACAACGATCACACGTGTCTTCTTTCTCTTTTTTTTTTTTTTTTTTTTTTTTAAATAATAGAAAATTTAGTTAGATAGGAGTTTTTTTTTGCCGCCACAATCTACGTTGAAGGGCGATCCTTATTTTCAGTCCTTGAACAGACGGACGATGTTTCGTGACGTAAGCATTCGCGTGGGATGCATTTCGCATTCTATTTATATATCGTTGTCATTAGTAACATGTAGAACGAGTCTCATTCTTTCCGACATAAGCGCATAATAGCCTGACGATAATTCAGTCGTTTGAATTGATTGAAAAGCGAAATGCGATAGATGTGTAAATTACATTTCCACTACGTTGTTTTTAAGGCTGAACGTTCCAAAAAATCTTGTCTCTTTAAAACCCGAAAATTTAAAAAAAGAGAGAGATATTTCAATAGCCAAATATTCCAAAGATCTTACAAAATTCACGCTTTTGCTCCCCCCCCTTTTTTTTTTTTTTTTTTTGAGAGGAAGAGAGCTTTCTTAAAATTCTTAGAAATTTAATAATTGCATCTCGTGCATCACCACTGCATCGCCGCATCCCTCGATAGCGCGCGCGTCAATATTACGTCGGCGTGTATCCGCCCGTCCGTCCATCCGTCCATCCGTCCGTCCGTTCGTTCGCGTTGAGTGACGACGGTTGACATTAGCCGTCGCGCACGAGGCATCTCTGGTGGCATCCTCAAAATTAGTTAAACTAGTGCATCGAGAGAGTGGCTAACCCAGTTATAAACGCGAAAAGGGGAATATCGAATAAATTTACCGCGCAGCCGCATATCGGCACTATCGGCCGCGAATACTGACGACGCATACCTACATGCACGTACCCGCGGCCCTTTCGTCCGTTCGCGCGCACGCGGCGAAGAACTACGAGGAACGCGGGGAAAGGGTGGAGGATTGTAGAAAGGGTGGCGCGGGGATGGGTACGCTAGTCTTTGAAATCGGTCCACTTGCCTCCGTGTGGCGTCCGCCGCGGCACACAATGCGAGGGTGGCGGTGGCGCGAGTGGAGAACAGCCTTCGCGCCAGGCGGATTTTCCGCTCGGTGACGCTCGTCAAAGGATCTATTTAAAGGATCGGTCGCGATTTTTGAACTCTCGTGCTTCCTTTGTAGCCACGCCGCGGATTACGCTTGTATTCGGGATCGTCGTATTCGCGTATTACACTCGTAAGAGCTTCTCGTGTGTTTCTCGAGCTCCCGCTAAAGTATTCTCCATGGCAAAGAGCG